CACTTCTCAGGGTTACCCTTGGTTTGGCCAGCAGCAGCATCTGGGGATAGGCAGGACAGGGAACTGTGCCCAGGGAGAGGTCCAGTGCTCACCAAATCCAGGGTAGGAAATCCCCTGACAAGAGCTAGAGCAGCACACTTGTTCTGTGCTACACATGTGCTTTTGGAGGTGGCAGCCTCTTAAAGATAGGCTTTGGAAAATGAACATTCAGGGGACATTTGAACCACCAACTGCGGCAGTGGAGATGACAATGAATGTGTTTCAATTGAACTTCCTTAGAAACTAAAGTTGGCCGTGGAGAGAAATGGAACTGCGTTTAGGCTGGAAAAAGCAGTTTAAAAAATATTTCTCTTCAGGGTTTGCAAAAAGTCATAAAAGCAGGTACAGAAGCAATGCACAGGAGCTGCCAGCAGCATGCCATCCTAGATGAAGTGCTCCAGAATGGGTTTTCCTCTTTGGAATGTGAAACAAATGTACCAGCAGCTCTCAAACACAAAACAGATTTGCTCCAAAGCTTCATAACAAAAACAAGCTTGAAAATGTTCCTCAGATGGAACTCTGCTCTCAAGTACAGCCCTGTGGTCATGCCAAGGTGCTCAGCAAAGCCACTCTATCACTCTCCTCCTCAGCTGGACAGGGGAGAGATAATAGATCAAAAGGCTCATGGGTTGGGATAAGGAGAGGGAGAGATTGCTCACCAGTTACTGTCATGGGCAAAATTACTTGGTTGGGGAAATTAGTTTAATTTATTGCCAATCAAATCAGAGTAGGATAATGAGAAATAAAACCTAATCTTAAAAACACCTTTCCCCCACCCCTCCCTTCTTCCTGGGCTTAACTTCACTCCCAATTTTCTCTTCCTTCTGCTCCACAGCAGCACAGGGGGACAGGGCATGGCTGCTGTGGTCAGGTGTTCATGCATTCTCTCTGCTGCTCCTTCCTCCACAGGGGGAGGACTCCTCACACTCTTCCCTTGCTCCAGGGTGGGGTCTCTCCCATGGGAGATGTTTCTCATGAACTTTCCCACTGTGGGTCCTTCCCATGGGGTGCAGTCTTTTAGGAACACGCTGTTTCAATGTGGGTCTCCAATGGTGTCAGAAGTCCTGCCAATAAACATGCTCCAGTTTGGGTTTCCCATGAGGTCACAGCCTCCTTCGGGCATCCCTCTGCTCCAAGATAGGGTGCTCCATGGGCTGCAGGTGAATCTCTGCTCCACCTTGGATCTCCATGGGCTGCAGGGGGACAGGTGACTCACTATGGTCTTCCCCATGGGCTGGAGGAGAATCTCTGCTCTGGTGCAATTGCTGTTTGGGCAGGCTTTTTACCCCTAAAATGTGTTGTTACATAGGCACTATGACCATCACTGATGGGCTCAGCCTTGGCCAGCAACAGGTCTGTCTTGGAACCAGCTGGCTCTGTCAGACACAGGGGAAGCTTCTGGTAGCTTCTCTCAGAAGCCACCCCAGTAGGCCCCTGCCACTGAAACCTTACCATGCATACCCAATACAAGCATCATTCCTGCCTCTCTCTTCCCTGTTTCCCTACCTTACCCAAAAATAATGTCTTGGAAAATTACTAGTTCCTGTAGTTCCTCTTGAAGACTGTTGTGTTCAGGTTTTGATGAAGTAAGGCAGAAGACATTAGAACCACTGAATATTTGAACTATTCTCAGCAGGTCAATTACTACAAAGATTTTCTGCTCTAGTTGCTTGCAGAGAGATGTGCACTTCTTAAAATCCTAGCTATTTTCTCTTTAATTTGTTTGCAAAACAAGACATAAGAGTGTAAAAAAATCAATTGAACACAACAATTTTATTGGAGTTCACATGCTACAAGGTGTACGAGCACAAGGTTTCTAGCAAGACAAGCAAGCAATCCTGTAGCTGCCTTCCAAGATATCTGCTGTTTGAAGCAATGTAGGATAAGCACACCATCAGTTTAACAGGTTTCCCCCTTGATCAATTATTTAGCTTTTCCTTTTATTTTCCTGAAGGTTTAAGGTTTAGTTTTTGAGGTTTTTTTGTTTAGTACAATTGTTACGTCTAATAAAGGGTGCATCCCTGTACTTCTGCACACTTGAGTTTAAAGCACTATAAATCCCTGCTTTCATATCTCTGTTACAGTGGTTCCTCTCTATCCCCAGTATTTTGGGGAAGGATGGCAGGAGAAGTATGAGAAATCAATAGAAGTTCCAGCAGATCAAGGAATAGGCTATGTCAGGTCTCCACTGCCTCCACATCCAATATTGTGTTGCAGTCCCCAGGGGCCAAAGCAAAACCTTTCATATGAGAATTTGCACTGAAGAAGTTCCAGAATACAGAAAAATGGTTGAAAGCCAAATAAAGTCTGTGGACTTGGGATTCACAGGAATAAAGGGAGAATTAACACCATCATATGCAACCACAGTTGCTGTATTGAAAAAAGGGTATAGAAAAGAAGATGTCTGAGGAAAATTAGCTAAAAGTGCATTGTAATCTTTAATAGAAAAATAGATGTTTTTAAAAAATTCCCTCCAGAAATCTTGTAGCTGTATTTATTTCTACACCCTTTTTTTTCTTTGTTTTGCTTTTATTCAAACACTTTAAATATACTTTAGATGTAATTGATATTTAAATTTTATTCAGTCTTTATAAGGCTCAGTGGACAGAATCAATTCAGTCAGAAATAAAGAATGATGTGAAAAGCAGTGAGGGAGCGTCTCTTCATTCAGTGGACAGAAAAATTAATATCCACAGGACAGCTGCTAAATAGGGCAGATTTTTTTATATTGCTTCAGTAGTAAAGCCACACCAATTTTGTACTAAGCAAGCATTATATTCTAGAGAAAGATGGGCGACAGAGCTGAAATTTGCTAAGAGGGGGCAGGGGAGAAACTGCTCTATTTATTTGTAACGATGAATACCACAGTAAACCACTAACCAGCTGTTACTTTACTCACATTAATGATTTCTGCTTTCTTAAAAAAAAACCAACAACAACAACACACAAAAAAACCAAAATCAGAAAACCAACCAAGCAAAAAAAAAAAAAAAACCACCAGCAAGAATGCTGATTTTGTCAGTAAACCAAAACTCCTCATTTCACACTGGAAAAGTAGATAGCGTTGAGTAAGACATAATAATTAGTCAAACTTATCAGTTTATATCCCTGGTTAGAAGGAAATTACCTTATCATTAATGATCAACTATTACATAAATAGCCCAGAAATCATCTTCCTTAAAGACCTCAGGACCAACAGTAGGGGAGGGATTCTGCACAAGCAAAGTAACAGAAGAGGCACACGCACCCTGTAAGAGCTGCAAGTCCCCAGGAGCCCTCAAAACCAAACTGAGTGCAGGTAGGGGCACAGGTGCCAAGAGAGAAGGAGGAGGGCACATCAGGCACCTGCCTTGAGTCACTTCCTGGTTCAGGACAGCTTCTCTAAACTCAGCATGGACAAGTCTGGGATTAAAGTACCGGATAGTTACATGCCACCCTATTTTGTGTCAAACGTATGAAACCAGGAGTTATAACAACTAAAGCTTGAAAGCAGAAACAGGAGAAGCCCCAGGCTGGAGAGGACCTTTCCAACATGCTGAGGTCTGGTTAAAGCAAATGGCTCCTTTGCAAGCTCTGAATGGTGAGAAATAGATGAAATCTAAAGCTATTCAAATAGCTTCATCTTCTGATACGTTGCCATGACATACCTTATTCTCAACAAGAAGGTTCTGCATAATGACACCAGCTTTAGCTCCTTAACACAACTGTCTGAAAAAGGTAATTTAAAAGTACAGGACTAGGAAAAATCCCCTCCACAGCTCCAAGGCAGACTGGAGATAAAATCACATTTTTCCCATGGGTCTCAAAGCTTCTTGTAACTTCGAGGTCACATAACAACCTGTGCAATGCCACATCTAATCTCTCCTCCCTCAAAGGGAAGGCCACATTTTTAGTATGTTATAACAAGAAGTTTTATAATTAGTTTGAACTAGGAGGAGAAAGATGGCCTATAGTTTCTCATGATTTAATCAATGCTTCTGCTAGTTCAGGTCATTAAAATTGTAATGTATTCGCCTAGTATTTGCATCAAAATAGGAGGAAGGCAGCAGAAAGAAAACTAATATTCTTCAAAATTCTCCGTACAACATTAGAGCAAATTGCCTATAGTGTAGAAGAAGAATCCATATTTACACAAAATTTGCAATAATGAGATAAATAAGTTAAAAAATGGATGTTCCTCCCAAACCTAGAATGAAAAAATAGAAAAGAGGGCAGGTGGAGGAAGCTGGAAAGGAACACTTACATCAAGTACATTTTCTCAGAACAGTGACAGAAATTTAAAATTATATTTGAAATTCTACTCTTAGCATTGCACTTCAGTTTCTCACATTTTGACATACTAATTATAGAGAGACAAGTTATTTTAATTTAAGCTTGCATATGAAAATTCCTACAAAATATACAGATATAATACTCTGATGTGTTACACTGGTTTATAGGATGGCTGGCTTTGTGTTCAGTGATGTCATCATATATGACATTTATATTCTATTAAAGTGATTGGTAGTAACTATAAAGCCTATATATATCCTCAGTTTTAAGGTTGTTTGATAACACAAGTTCTTTTAAAACCTTTATAATGAATCTACATAGAGATAGTATGCTGCCAAAATAAAATGGATATGAGTTCCTTCTGTATTGGCACTATAAAATTAGGTCACCTTTAAATCCTATTTCTGGGCCACACAAGTTTAACCTTTTTACTTGCTTACTGGTCCTTGATAATGACAGTTTCTGGTTTTCATTTTGTTACTGTAGAGATATATAAACAGGAAAAAAACTTTTCTTAAGTGCATTGTGCACACCATTTTAAAGATATATATATTCTTAGTTATGAATATACAGTGCTGATATTAATTCTAATAAGTTCTATGTATCTTTCTTACTCTTCTACTAGAGATTAGTTTCCATGAAAAAGTAATTACTGTAAAATTTTCATATTTTTCATGTTTCCTAACCAGGTTGTGGAAGCCTTAGAACTTAGAATTAATTTGTATGCCGCAATGGAAATAGAAAAACATACATGTTGCAATTTTTAACAGGTAAGGAAAAAAACCCAAACAAAAAAATCCACAAAACAATGTTCACATAAAATCCCAAATGCACCTTCAACACTATGAAAGCACTAGCCTTTTCTGACAGTTTAATGCCTGAAACACAAGTGAGGAAAAAGAACATGACACCTACAAGTAAACAAGGGAAGATAATGTAAGGAAAGATAGCTGATCATTACCTTGTAATCATGGCTGGCAAGATACAGATTTCACATGCAGATTTCTGTTGACTGAAAGACCCAGGGAAGGCTCATTTCAGTCCCAACTAATGGTATCTGTCAGGAGGTAGAAACCACATGCAATGTTGACTGTCTTCTCTGTTAGAGAAGAATTGCTGCTAAATAAAAAAGGGCAGAAAATTTCAGTATGGTCCCCCAAACCCCTTACAAATTCAGAGTGCGCTGACTCTAAAGAGCCAGCTGCTGTTCACACAGCAAAGCTGAATGCAGAGAACAGAAAGATGCTGCTGCATGGGGCTCCTTGTGCACAGCAGAACAGGAGCAGGTCTGGGAAACAGGTGTTGCTCCTTGTCAAGGAGGTGTCAGCATGGCTCCATCTGCTCTGTACTTCAGCTGGCTCTGAGGGCTATCAGGGGGCTCTGAAACTTAATACCTACTGAAACCGGGCCCCTTACACTCATAGTGTTTACAAAGATAACCCAAACAAGCTGGGGGTAGCCAAACAGAGCTAAGCCACCTCTCCAGAGCCAGCAAGGTGTAACTCACAACTCCTCTGTTCCCATAAAGATATAATTTTTAACTTTCATTTGTGAGATATACTTATAGTTTTACTTAATTTGCAACAAAAAAACAAACAACAAAAAATAAAAAACAACAACAACAAAAAAAAACAAACAACAACAAAACAAAACCAAAACAACAACAAAAAAACACCAACCAAAAAAAAACCAGGCCCTTTCATAAGATTTCTGGGATGACTATCTAAAAACAAATAAACAATAATTTTACTGTTCTAATATCCTGTCTCTCATGTGTTACACACACAAATTATCTGTGGATAATTTTTATGTAGGTTAAATGGAACCAGCTATATTCATATAGCAGAACTATCATGTATCCCTTTTGAGTTTCACATTACTGTTTCTTATCAACTGGGAGAAGTTAGAAACAAGGTTGTGTCCTTTGTAGAACAAGAATCAGCAGATATCATCTCTGAAAAGGAGTATTCAAAGGGCCTATTACCCACAATATAACACTTAATTTCTATAAAAATACACGTGGTTACTTAAGTGCATTAAAAAACAGCAACGTGGACCCAGGTGTGGGAGAGATCTGAAGTGAAGATATACATGACCACTTGTTTAATAACTACTGAGAAAACAGAACTATGAAACTCCAGTTACCTCAAATTTCTGTGCCAACAAAACCAACCCAGACTGTAAACCAGACAAGTTCAGGTCAAGCTTGAGAAAAGTTAAGTACTAAAATTCCAAAAACTGGTTTCAGAAAAGTTTACTGTTAGATGGATGACGGCTAAAAAAAATAAATATATGTTTGAAGGAAAGTCTGAATTAACAGTCTTCTCCTGGTTACTTTCAGCTAGCAATATATTCTGGCAAACTGGTGGCCACTAGAATCAGATGCAAAATATGTTAATTCTAAAATTATTTTTCTACATGAGCTGAGGGGAATCTAAGGTGTAAAATAAACGTTATACCTTTTATCAACCAGTCAATCTTATTAGGGTACAAAGCAATTTAGGTGATAGGCTGAAAATTGGCCAGGGAAGAATGCAGACAAGACCCAATTAAGACAAAAAGCAATTTGAGTTTACTGAATAATCTATTAAGAGCAAATAACAAATTACAAAACCTAAAGAAAATTACAAGTAGGTTTTGCTTTCAGTGCACAATTAGATGTACTAAAAGAAAACAAGAAAACCAAAATATTACCAAATAATCAGAGTGGGGTTACTTCACATTCCGTCTTCATTAGTGAAGGATAGAAAAGATATTAGTAATTTGAATAGGTTTCTGCATTAAACCAGCTGATTTTTGTTAAACAGAGGAAAACTAGGGTTCTGAGATACTGAATCTACAAAAAGACACATAACGTAACACCTGCTTTTTAGATTCTGGGTCAGGAGCTGGATTTCTTGCTCTGTTAATGTCCCTGCAGTTGGTGCCCAGATGCTCTACAGGTGGGCCAAGTCAGGCTGCAGTTTACTAGTCAAGCTGCCTTAAGGATTTCTAATGTCAAGTCAAAATGCATGAAATGACCCAAAACCAGGACATCAGCCAAAAGAACTTACAGAGTTTGTGCCAGCTGCCCTCCTGACTGAGGAGGTACACCCATATCTGGCCATGCTTTCCCATGTCCCAACCCCACTCCAGGATGGAGGATACTGGTTTTCCTCACCTTCTCTTAATCATTAGCTCTGGCTACCTCCTTTCACCTTCTCTCTCACAGTTGCCACACTGGAATCTCTCAACAGGGAGTGTTTGCACAGGGCCTACTCCCACCAGCCAGAGCTCATGCAGTCCTGGGAGTCTTGCTGGAGCCCAGTCACCTCTGCTCATTGCTGGGCATCACCTTGAGCTGCAGGAGGGAGAAAACAGCCATGCCAAGGTGGTGGGGGAGAAACAGTTGTGCTGTAGCCCCTGCCCTGAGCACAAGATAGCCTTGTAAAGACCTACAGGTCCTTGAGCAATGACAGATGAAGACAAGCAATAAAGCAAAGTTGTGATTGAGGCAGGCTCATGCTGCCTGAGCAGACCAAAGCTTCCTTTTCCCCTGCCATGTAGCTTGGACACAGGAACTCTTGTCATAAGAGAAATAACTGATATGAATTTCTCCAAGTCAAAGATTGAGGCAAAAAATTTTAAGTTTTTTTTTAACACATCCATACTCATGTGCGCTGGCCCTTGTGTATCTTTTCCGAGGCAACTCATGCAGGTGCAAGAAACAAAGACAATAAAATGAAGATGACTTCTACAAGGTAACTGATTTCAAGGCGCTTACCTGCTGCAGCTCTCATGGTCAGAGCACTTGAGTTTTTTATTAATGTATGTACGTACTCCATCACAATTAACATTAGCAGTGCCAGTCAGACATACAGTATCCCAGTTCATCACAGTCCTCCTGTACAAAGCTATAAACCCCATATTGGTGTTATATGTTTTGTTGGTATATACATTTCATAATGTTCAAAGTAGAGTGATCAGTGATGCCAGCAGGAAGCTACTGGAATTCCCAAAGGCACTTTTGTGCCTTGGCTGTTAACTGAAAGAGTAACTTTACAAGTCTGGTTGCAAAAAGTCTGCAGGCGTAAATATAACCCAAAGGGTTCTTTTGAACTTGCAAGGCTGAAACATCACCAGAGAGAAAACGGAATAGTCTTTTTTTTCCTTCCCAGTTCTGAAAACAAGTTCTAATAATTTAACTACTAGGTAATAAATATCTATAAATAAGTAAAGATGACACTGAAAATACACAGAAAATTATAATTTGTAACAGGATTATCAGGGACTGATTTGTCTTTGACTATACATTAGATGGAAGTTACACCAAAGAACACAAGTCCTTATTGTTAATGTTTTTGTACCTATTTCTCATGGGAAAGAAGCCATATTATTATTGCAGTACTTAGTAGAATATTCACTGCAGTTGCTTATTTCATTTCTATTTTAGGTAAGTCTTCTCTTATTATGAAAAAAAAAAAAAAAGGCCAGTAAGAAATGCTTATTAGGGCCAGGGGCTTTTTCAAAAGAAATATAACATGTAAAATTAATTTAATCTCTTTCTGCTTTGAAACATGTTGCAAACAGATTGTGATTTTCTTCAACACATTATATAAAACTATTCAAGGATTTATTTCAACAATAATTCACATCCTGAACCTCATTAGTAAGTAGTTTGCTGCCAGTAGTCAGTATTAAAATGAACTGTTTCAATAGATTAGTCATGTTGCTTTGTTGGGCTTTTTTTTTTGAAAACTTGATTGCACTGATATAAATCAGACAATAAATTTATCCATGTGAGGACTGGAATTCAGTACTATGTTTCACCAATATCTTACAATATTCAGTTTATCTCCGTTTTGGCAATCACTCCTACTAGCTAACTTCATTGCTAGCCCTGCAGAATGCAACCACCAAAACAGTATCAAAATAGGCTACATGAGTTTCTTTAACAAATGGGACAGCTGAAGTGTCAACCAATCCTTATTCATTGTAGAGTCAAATTAACTTTTTTTGTTAATTTTTTTCTCACATTGTGTGTTCGTTTACATGAAGTTCACAGAGGTACCAGTGAAGGTATCACTTTCTGTTTGTACAAGTTACTACACCATGACTGCAGTGGTAGAGAAGGCAACACAAGATTTCTCCACTTGCAGACCAGGGAAGTGTTATCAAAAGCAGAGTGGAGCTTTACAACTAAAGCTTCAGTGACAAATCAGGTAACTCAACAGAAACGGGAACTCCCCAAGAGCAGTATATTCATTAAATCATATTTAGTTTCTTTACTTTTATACATGTAACTTCTAGAGAGCTGTGCTGTGATGGCTTTTCTTCAGAAGGAAGGAGGGAGCTGCAGTACTTCACCTTCTCTGCTACTACAGCTTCAAAGAGCCCATTAAGGACACAGAGCTCTGCTTTGATGCCACTGCCTCATTCTTGAAGTTGGGTAGACGGTGGTCTGTCCTCCAGGTCATACAAGCAGAGTCCCTCTGGATCACAAAAACAGACCTGCCCTATGCCATACTCTGGGAAATTGAACTGTGCAGCTTCTATTATAAATTGCAATTTTACTCCATATAAAGTCATTGCTACTCACTGAAACAAGTGTCAGCATTTCAAAAGCCACTTTATATAGCAAAAGACTTACTAGGCTGAGTAGATGTACTGCCCACACAGGAGCTGTTTACAGGGCTGACAAACACAAATCCAAAATGTACCACAGGATTAATTTTTGGCTGCAATTTGTATAACTTCAGAGTTACCAGTTTCCATGCTCCAACAGTCATTC